GTGTGTGTGTGTGTCTCAGGTGTGTGTGTGTGTCTCGGGTGTGTGTGTGTCTTGGGTGTGTGTGCATGTCCCAGCTGTGTGTGTGTGTGTCCCAGGTGTGTGTGTCTCTCAGGTGTGTGTGTGTCCCAGGTGTGTGTGTCCGAGGCCAGTTTTAAGCCAGTGTCAGTTTCAGCCACGCTGACCCTGCTGCTCAGCGCATGTGATTATAAACCTGCTCAACCCACAAGTCTTGGGAACACGTGTTTCCTAACACACTAGGAAAACTGGTAGAAAAACTTCCCTCCCAGAGCCCCAGGACTCACTCCAAGCACTGCAGGTGGTCTCTGCCCTGCCCCCCTCCTTCCAAAGCCCTCCCAAGCACTGCACAGACTCCGTTTGCAAACCCTGTTTTATTAAAACTGCTTTGTACCCTAATCCAAGGCTCATCCCCATAAAGCTCCACTTTTCCTGGAGAACAGGCTTTGGAATAACTGCCTTTTCTAAGTGGTGAATGCAAACACGGGTTCCTGTGAAAACAGAACTTTACACAGGACACGTTTGTTACACAAGCAAGTCACACTTATAGGAAGAGGAAAGTAACTTGGAAGGAAGTTGGGCATCAAGATACAAGTGCTGGGGATGAGATGAAGGGCACATCCCTCAGAGTAAATCCATGGAAGTCAGTGCTCCAGGAGTGCCAAACTGTTTTAACAGCACCATCTTCTATTAGACACACCTGGCCACTGGTTTTCCCACCTGATAACCTCATTCCCATGCCTCATATTCCTCATGTCCTCCCCTTCCTGTCAGTTCCTGCCCAGGTAGGAGGTCTGGAGCAGGCTGAGGTGTCAAAACAGGAATAAAACTGGATGTGCACGGGACACAGCTGGACAGAGCAGCAGCTGGACAGCAATTCCACCTTCCCTGTCACCGAGGGAGCTGCAGGCAGGAATCCAGGGTGCCCTTTGTCCTGGCTTACATGGGATGTCAACATGGATGACAACTCCCTGTTCCCATTTTGGGTTCAGTCCTTGGCTCTCCGGTGGCACTAAAGGTGACCATGAGTAGTTAACTGATCTAACAAGAAGGACAAGCTGTCTCCTAATCAGTGACCATCTGTTTTCTTCATGGGAACACTGGAGATCCATGGGCAAGGCTGAAGAAGCAGCCCTGATCAACAGCCTCCCACCCCTTCAGTGCCCCAAACTGCAGAGAGGCTCCTGAACTGGCAGCCACAGACCTTCAGCTCCCTGGAGTTTCTCCAGGAATTCCCAGCCTACCTACATGGGGAAAAACATTGATGGAGTAAAACCTGAAAACAACACAAAATGTGCCATTCAAACACAACTGATTTCAGTATCTCTTGACCAACCCACTGGAGATCACGCAGCACAGAAACTGTTCCCAGGGAGGAAGGAAGTTGTTTCTTTTCCAAAGGAGAGGTAATTCCCCACCTTGCAGCCCCCTGAACAACCTGCCCAATGGATGAACTCTCCTGCTGCTGCCTGGAAGGAGAAAGTCACCATAAATGGCCCAGAACTGGAAGCATGTTGTGCTGTGCCCCAGGAGAGCCTTGAGCTACTTGCTGGACAGTGAAGCAGAGAGAAAATAGTGTCCTTGCTGCCTGTTCGAGTTGGCAAAAAAGGATATAAACCCCAGTAGAAACTAGTTGCATTTCCATAGTAAAACAACATTATGAGCCCAGTGTTGTGTTGACAGATGATACAAAACATCTCAGCATCCACTAGAGGGTGAATAAAACACAGTGTAATGCGTGCAGGGACAGACAGAGAGCACTGGCACTGGTATAAAAATATCCACAGTCCTCAGACAAATGTAAACAGGTACAAAATCATTCCAAGAGCAGGAACGTGTTTACAAAAGGACGTGTTAATATAAAAAGAGTAAAACCAGGTTCACCCCCTCCCAGCCTCATGCACAGTCACCCAGGTCAGCCCATGGTAGGACCACACAGACATGAGCAAAGCCTGGACTTGGCACTTGACCTTGCAAGACAGGCAAAGCAGAAACAAAAACCAACAGGAAAACCCCAACTTCAGGGTTTTTAGAGCTTGGTCTTTCCCAGTCCTTGATTTCCTGGCATCCCAGGAGCAGGCACAGCAGGGAGCTGCTGGTGTAACTGGTGGAGTTTATCCTGCTGGGGTGGGTAAGTGTGTGGTGGCCCTGGTGAGGGCTGGGCAGTGATGCCTGGCACAGGAGGTGACCAACTGTCCTG